AAATGGCCACTAAAATAACAAATCTGAACAAAACAAATTGGTAAATCATTTCTAAATAAATGTGAACAAATGAAATAAAAAATCTTTTATTCTTATTATTCTTATAATTTATTAAACTATAATAATAATAACAATATATATTATAATTTTTATGTATTTTTTATATGTGCTATATATATTGTTTACTATGCATTTTACCCACAAATGACAACAAAGCAGATTAATTTTTTCTTTTCTTTTTCTTTTACTTGTACAGAAACCGAGCTGAAAAACTCACCAGCTGTTTCCTGAGCCACTCCAGTGCTTGGTCAATGCTTCCGAATCCCAGTGTGTTTCCTGACAGCTGCCTCCCTTCATGAACCACACTAATGCCCAGTGACGGCTTCGTCCACTTCACGGGCCGTGACGTTCTCTGTTTCTCGGGGTCACCAGGGGCCACTGATGGCTCTGAGTCTCTGTGGCTCTGAGCGAGCATCGCCTCCAGCTGCGCTCTCCAGTCCAGGTAAGACGGCTTTCTCGTCTCCAGTTTGAGCTTCTCAGTCAAAGCCTTCAAACTGGAGAGGTGGTCAACCTGCGATGCAGCAAGGCTTTCTGGGGTCTTCGATGCATGTGACATTGCCACTGGCTTTACACAGTGTTGCTTACAGGGAAACTAAAAAGCATTTAAGAGTGAAAAATCTGGATAAGTTGGCAGACCGACATCATATTGTTTGAGAAACCTGGATCCATGGACGCAAACATGCAATTATCTTTTGTATTAGAGAGCTTTTATATCACACACATTAGTTATGATTCATTCCTGAAGATGATATAAAAACATATATTTTCATTTTGTTTGCTCTCAGTGTTGTTGAACTTCTTTTGCAGTTTCTCCGCAGACAATGTTTCACTTCTATGACTGTTGAAATAATGAGGCATCTGAAATATAAAAGAAACAAGAATAACATCAAACGATGCAGGAAGCAAATATTGAAATCTACTGTAGCCTATGTTTTGATGTGCCAAACTGTCTAATAATATCAAATACAAATCGTCTTGTAAAAGAAAACATACCTGTGCAGTTCTGTAATGATGACAGTTTATAACAACACATAGTGCACTAACACTTGTTTCGCTAGTTAGTCTTCTTTTATAATAAGCACTTCCTTGTAATTTTGTTCTTGCCTCATCGTTGACTCTTGTGAAATGACAAGCGGTAATCCTTGTGCATAATATATCAGAGAAAAACTGGCACCAAGAATCTTACAAACAAACATGCCCTGTGTTTTAGTTGCACTGGAAAAGTGTTATTTTAGCATCATTAAGATACTATTATAGTTTGTTGATATTATTTTAATTAGATTTTATTTTTATAGTTTTATATTTTCTGTTGATCATGTTGCTGTGTGTTTTGTCTTGTTTAACAAATAAGTTTTAGTTTATTTAGTTTGTAGTTATTTTAGTACTTAAACTAAATGAAAATGAGAAATGTTGTCTTGGCAGCTAAAATAAATAAAATATATTTTTTTCATGTCTGTGAATTAGTGATTATTTCACTGATCTGATTTGTAAAAAAAACAAAAAAACAATGGGACCATAAGTAAAAACAATAAATACGATATATATATATGTATGTGTGTGTTAGTTTATACAAAATGAAAAAATCTTACTTTATTTTTATATTTTCTGTTTTCATTTTAATTTTAGCTAACGTTTTAATCATTTTATTTATTTTTTTAAATACATCTACTGTATATATTTTTATTTTTAGTTTATAGCTTTAGTTATTTTAGTACTTCAACTTAAACTAATGAAAATAAGAAATGTTGCCTTGACAGTTAGCTGAAATGAAATAAGTTTAAGTTTTTTATATTTGATTTTATTTGGTTTAATGTTTACTTTATTTTAAGTAATGAATGAG